AAGTTTAGGACTCCACAGACAATACAACTTTGTTTGCAGAGGATAAAAGCAAGATTTGAGCGCTATTTCCACCCCACTGACGTTTATATTGAAATTGATTTTTCCCCCTCTTTTTATACATAGGCAGGTAGCATACTGACTACAATCATACTTCAAAGCATTGTGTAGATGGATTTTAACATGAAGGTCAGGTGACAGACCTTATACTGAATCCAAGGCTCCTAGAGTTTTATGGCATATAAAATCTCTGTATTCTCTGTTTTAAGTTGGAGCCATTTACTGTCTAAGAATTCCAGATGTGGCTTTAAAGCAGTGTTTTCTAGCTTTCAGTGTAGTTGCCTTCCCCCTTCAACTTCAAAATGATATCAAGATGAGGTTTCTAGGGCAAACAGCTCTGGAAATGTTGAAGGCATGATTCTGGCTCATGCACATACATACTCTCCCATAAAGAAGAAAAAAAAGTGATTTTAATAAAGACTAAATAATGAAAAGGGATACAGGCTAAAAAAAATTCCTAATACCACAAAAGCAGATATAAAGTTTGCAGGAGACACAAAGAAAACCTTTCAGTGGACACTTCAAAAGCCTAGTAAAAATCCAGCTATATCCATAATCAAAAAGTTTTTTGTGAAATGAGAAAGCAAACTTAAAAGAAGCCCTGCTATTCTAGCCCTCAGGCTTTCTTCAAGGTAAAACATCACAACCAAGCAGAAACCTCAGCACAGTCTTTCTTTAAATCTCATGTTTACTCGACACCTGTTTGGCTGCTGGCAAGGTACTCTCATATCCAACAAGCTGGCCATTGACAGCTTTATATTTACCCTTGGCAATCTACCTTCTCAGCTCCATCTTGTAAAAAATTCTAAACATGAAAAAAGTGGAACTAGTGTCACTCTCCTCTTGAACAGCATTTAAATCAGGAGTTCTGGTAAGCAAGTTTCCAAGACCAATTCATAAAGAACCACAAAATACTAATTCTGAGCTACCAGTTGCTTTCATTCTACAATTTAATTCATACAACTCACTCCAGGCTGAAGTCCCTATTATTTTACGGGTGGTGGTGAAGGATTCTGTCAGGTTTGAGGAGTAGAATACCATTCCTACACATTTCTTACTAGTGTTCAACCACCGCAGTAAATACCATTCCTATGAATGGATAAATAGACATGCATGCAAAGTTAAATGAAGATTCATTTTCCATCTAATTTTTTCCTGTGAAGGAATAGTTTTCCCTTTCCCTGTCTTTGGAGTTGGTGCCATAGATGCAGTAAACTTATCTTCTGACTCACAGGTGAGCAGAGATGAAAGTTTTCTGTGTTTCTACAGCACGTTGTACAAAAACTTAAAGGTTCATGACCAGAGATACAAGGGATGCCGTGTGTGTCACACATGAAAGTCACACATTTTTGAAGCTGTTAGCATTTACAGGAAAAGGAAGCAATACATTGATTAGCATCTTTAATCTGTCAGGAAGGGAAAAGGATCTGAACTACTCTGTTAGTATTTGGTCGGGATGTTCAAACTAACTTTTATTCTTTTTGTAGCATGGAAAGGCAGTAAGTTTAACCCCCTGTGTGACCCACCTGTGGAACTTTTTGAAATTAAGGAAATATGAAATGCAAAGGAAGTCCAAACTCTAGCCAATTACAGTATTGGCTACACAGCTCATTGTAGCCCTGTTATATTTCCACCACCATGATCATCACCACCACGTCAAGACATCCGCTAATTTCCTTCCTCTCCTGACTTTTACTGAATTATTCCAGATGTAAAAGCTTGGTTAGCTTCAAACTGCATCTTAAAAAAAAAAAAAAAAAAAAACCACCAAAAAAAAGCCAAAACCAAACCAAAACAAAAATAAAACCACAAACATGACCTAGTCTACATTTTCCATCTCTGATGCATTAGTAAGTTGTTAGTGCTCAGATCTCCTATTGAAAGAAAGAAAAAAAAAATAAGACAGAAGTCAGTATTCTCAGAATTCATCTATTCATCTAATTTTCCATCACAACCTGTAGATCCTTCCTTGAAAAGTTACCTTGAATATTCATGTTAGTCAAAAACAGGCATATGGGAGCTCACACAGGAGAACAGAATTCTCAGCCATGAAGTTCTTTACAAAAAAACTTGCCTTTTTCTTAAGTTGCTCATAGGTATTATAGGTATCACAGTCATCTGGAATTAATCATTTCACCTAGAAGAGGTAGTAGTTTTGTACCATTGATTTAACCCCAAGGATTAGAGTTTGGTAATCTCCAATCTACCTCAATAATCCTTGTATTTTGGAAAGCTGGGTCCAGATTGTGCTTGTATCAGCCATACGGATCAAGGGTGTTATTACCTTCATACATCACATGCCCAATACATCAGAGCAATCACCTAGAAGTGAATAATCATCCTGAGACTGTAAAAAAAAGCAGAGAATAGCTACAAATTATCCTGTGCAAGAGTAGCAGGTAAAGAATCATTTATAAGGTAGATCAATGTAGAGACAGAAGGTGGGTGGCAGGGGGAACACTTTTTTGACATTTTTCGTCTTAATGAACAGAATAAAACTCGTCTTGATTGTTAAAGCAAAATGACCTTTGGAAAAGGGGTATACTTGGAAGTTTGATTTTTCTGTTCTTCATAAGAAAAGAACACACCTATATAACTGCTTAGATTCACGACTCATGTACATACCGGTATTTTTCCAGTAAAAAGAATTGTTTTAGGAACTGAAGAAATGAGACAATGCCACTTTTTATTTTCTCAGCTGGAAAGTTCGGTTCTGCTTGTCCTCATATTCATCACATGGTTCAAGAGTATTATTACTTTTGTATGGCGCGTTCCTAAGGTCATTGCTCCTTGGTGACAGAGCAGGTGTGCAGAGACACGTGTTGGGTGCAACATTACCCCATTAGTCCTGTTGCTGTCTCCTGGAAGACACCCAACTGTTGTCTCAGAAGAGCCTCAAATGCCATAGCACCCTTAATGAAGTTGAACCTACTGTTAAAAACAGGATGTTAGGACTGGCCAAGTGACACTGCTACCCACTGAGATAAGGCAGAGAAAAGCTAAAGAAAAAGAGACACTGGCAAAAGAATGTCTTTCCTGTAAGTACGGCTTCCTTAAATAAGGCAGCTGCAGACAAGAGGAAAAAATTGAACTCTACAGTGAAAACTCCTATGACACAGGAAAATACTGTAGAGAGTAAGTCCTGCCCACAAATCGACCAGATGCTCCTGTTCTTAATCAGCATTATGCTGCGAATGCTGTGGCTGTTGGCTTAAAGTTAGAATTAACCTGAAAGCTTCTTTAATACAGAGCCTTGCAAGGAATGCTGTCCAGAAGCTCTCTAAGCAAAGGGCCTCAGCATCAAACCAGCTGAGTAT